ATGCCATAGGTTCTTGATCATATGACACCTCCTGAAATGGATGAAGATTGACCAGTTCTTTTTTGGTACAGTGACTTTGTGTATTCCTTCCATCTTCCTTTGATGTTTCCTGCATCATTCAATATTTTGCCTACAAAAACTTTCAATATTGCAACTCGAGGCTTGAATTTTTTCTTCAGTTCTTTCAGCTTGAGAAATGCCAAGTGTGTTCTTCCCTTTTGTTTTTCTAATTTCAGGTCTTTGCACATTTCATTATAATAATTGACTTTATCTTCTTGAGCTGTTCTTTGAATTGTTCTATGCAGCTCTTTTATCTTGTCATTTCTCCCATTTGCTTAGCTACTGTTTGTTCAAGGGCAAGTTTCAGAGTCTCTTCTGACATCCATTTTGGTCTTTTCTTCCTTTCTTGTGTTTTTAATCACCTTTTGCTTTCTTCATGGATGATGTTCTTGATGTCATCCTACAATTCCCCTGATTTGATGCATTGGTGTTCTGTACCTCAAATCTATCCTTTAGATGGTCTCTAAATTCCAGAGGGATATAATCAAGGTCATATTTTGGCTCTTGTGGACTTCTTTTAATTGCCTTCAGCTTCAACTTGAACTTGCATATAGGCAATTGATGGTCTGATCCACAGTCAGCTCCTGGCCTTGTTTTGGCTGAAGATAACGAGCTTCTCCATTGCCTCTTCCCACAGATGTAGTTGATTTGATTCCTGTGTACTCCATCTGGTGAAGTGCATGTGTATAGCTGTCATTTGTGTTGTTGAGAAAAGCTATTTACAATGAATAAGTCTTGCAAAATTCTGTCATGCAATCTCCAGCATTATTTCTGTCACCAAGGCCATAATTTCCAATTACCAGTGATTCTTCTTTGTTTCCAACTTTTGCATTCCAATCACCCATGATAATCAACACACCTTGATTACATGTTTGGTCAATTTAAGACTGCAGGTGTTAGTAAAAATCTTCAATTTCCTCACCTTTGGCTTTGGTGGTTGGTGTGTAAATTTGAATAATAGTAATATTAACTGATCTTCCTTGTAGGTGTATGGATATTATCCTATCACTGACAGCATTCTACTTCAGGACAGATCTTGAAACATTCTTTGTGACGATGAATGCCCCGTCATTCCTCTGAAGTTTGTCATTCCTGGCATAGTAGATCATATGGTTGCCTGATTCAAAGTGGCTAAAACCAGTCTGTTTCAACTCACTAATACCTAGGATATTGATCTTTATGTGTTCCATTTTTGTCAACTTCCAGTTTTCCTAGATTTGTACTTTGTACATCCATATTCCAATTATTAATGGATGTTTGCAGCTGTTTCTTCTCATTTTGAGTCATGTCACATCAGGAAATAGAGGTCCTGAAAGCGTTTCTCCATCCACGTCATTAAGGTAGGTTCTACTCGGAGGAGACACCTCTTCCTAGTCATATTTTGAGTGCTTTCCCATGTGAAGGGCTCATCTTCTGGCACTATATCAGACAATGTATCAGGGCTATTCATAAAGTTTCTCAGTTATCTATCAGTGTTTCACTGCTATTCATATGGTTTATGCTGGCCAATTCTCTGAGAAGCAGATGGCCCCTTCCTTCTTCTGAGTCTGTCTTAGTCTGGAGTAAATGAATGACTGTTAAATAAATGGTTGTCTGAATAAAAGATTATTGACAGTAATGATTGTCTGAATAAAATATTATCTACAGTAATGATGTTCAGTATCTTCTTTTCTTGATTTTATACATTTTATGTGTGTGAAGCAGCATGCTGTAGAGCAGAAAACATTGGGCTTAGCATCAGGAACACAGAAGTTTGAGCCTCTGCCTCTAACCTTTAATCTATCATGCTTGCCCTTCTCTTCTTATCTTTCTTCCTTATCTGCAAAATCTGTGTGATACCCACTCCCAGGGTTGTAGTGAGGAAATACTATAAGGAATGTTTATAATTGGCAAGGGACTGTCTATAAGGGAACCTCACTACAATTTGTAAAGGTGGATGCTACCTCTTCCTCGCCCTGTCAGCAGCCCTGAATGAGACACAGCCAAGAAAACCAACTCTTTGTGACTCTGGCTGCAGTGATTCTGCAAATCTCATCCTGGCCTCTGAGAGGAAGCGATTGATCTAATCTAGAGATCCTGCATAGTGCCTAAGGCACTTGACTGCTAACCAGAAGGCTGGCGGTTCAAACCCACCAGCCACTCCTCGGAAGGAAGATGGGGCAATCTACTTCTGTAATGATACTGCCTTGGAAACCCAAGGAGGGGTTGCGATGAGTCAGGCCGACTCGACGGCATATAACAACAACAACAGAGATCCTTTCTCCTTCCTTCTGAAAGCCTCACAGGGAAACAAAACCAAAACCAAAACCAAAACCAAAAAACTCTGGTTTTATGAACTGTGTTGCTTTTATGATTAGACTTAGTGGAATGAATGGATTTTGTAATGGGCTTTCTTTCACCGATGTGTGGTAAATTAAAAGCTGGAAGGACTGAGCATGAAGGCTGATATGGACAATGACAATGCTCTTTAGAGAAGTGACTGCTGAGAGATTGGGAAATGCCTTCCATACCCTCTGAACATGAGACTGACAAGTGCAGATTATATCATGAGAACACACACTGGCTTCTTATCGTTGTGAGTTTCCAGCATAACCAAGGAGATGAAAAAGAATTCACCAAAATATACCTTCCATTAAAGTCTTAATGCCAGCTTAGCTAAAGCTAGCTCCTTGGAACATTTTACCAATATACTTGCCATAAAGATGAACTGGCTTTCAGAGATCAGAAGTGTCATAAATATTTGGATCAAATCTAGAGCTCTGTTTTAGGCCCTTCAAAGAAGGATCTCTAGCTAAAAATAGAAAGAAAGGGGGTGGAGTGGAATCAAGTGTTTTGAAGACCTCAGCAAGCCTATTAATTGGTATGTCAAGCCATGCTATGGTCTCTGGTTTCATGTGGGCACATTCAGCATTGGTTCTTAAGAGCAAATACATGCGTATCCATTCTTTATGACTCTGGGCTGCTTCTTATGGGTTGGGCAGAAGCTTTATTTTTAGGCTGTGTCCTCTGGTGTGTCCTTTGCAGAGGAGGAATCTCTTGTCTCACTGACAGCTTTGGCTTTTCATAAATGTAAGGGAAAAGAAACCCCCTCTTACCTTTCTGCCTCTTCTAATGGTGTCACCATCCACCCACTTATGCACTTATTTTCCTTTAACTTTTCTGCTTCCTTATCCCTTCCCCCGCCCCCAATAACCAAGTACTGTCAATTCTATTTTATAAAGTTCTTTTGAATTTGTCAGGTTCCCTTTATATGCACTACTGTTGTATTGGTTCAGGTCCTCATTCCCTCTCACCTATTTTATTGCAGTCTGATCTCTAGGCCCTGGCCTTTCTCCCTGGCTGTCTTCTGCCCTGTTGTCATTGGGGTCTGTCTAAGTCACAGTCACAGATTTCACCATGTCTGCTTGTTGCTTAAGATCCTTGAGTGGTCTTACCTACAAGATAAAGTTCAGACTGTCTAGCATTGTATATAAAGTCCTTCAATATCTGGCTTCTTCCCACCCTTTTGTGCCTTCTGTTTGGCCTTTTTCCTTTCTGTTTGGTCAGCTCTGCTTGAAAATTCAAGATTTGAGATGAATATAACCTCTGCTGTGCATACTCTGCAGATAGGGGTCATGACTCTTGTCTCAAAAATCCCAAAGATGCTTGATTACCTCCTTATTTTATAATTAATTTATTGCATTATAATAAGGAAGAAAGCAGAGAGGTAGTGCATATAGTGGAAAGAATATGGACATTGGTTAATCAAACTTAAATTTAAATCCTGGCCCCACCATTTACCTATTATGTGATCTAGTACAAGTTACTCAACCTCTAACATTATCCACTTTTCTGCTTTATAGTGTTGGCAGGATTAAATGAGATAAATGTGTACAAGGTATCTCATAGTCTGTGGTAGGAACACAGCATAGGATAGTCTCTTACCCTTCTTTTTACCTGTGCCATTTGCTCAGAGTATATATCATTGTATCAAGTAATGGTCAAAATCTATTTTATTTTCTCTGAGAAGTGGCTGTGGTACATTCTGGGTAGTGTCAGAACTGAAACAGACTATGGGCTGGGCCAGTATAGGCTTGGGTATCTAAGAAGAAGTCATTCATCTCTGAAGAGGTAAATTGGGGGTATGGAGACTGGATGGAAGAGAGGAGAGGAGTGTGTTTGTGTCAGGAATCTGATACTGCAATTAAATTAAAAAGTTTCCTCAAGTCAATATCGTTCCATGTGAATGCACCTGAAACACCATCCCATGAAGTGTAACTATATCTTTAAGATAAAAGGTACTCAAGGAGAAGGAGATAATTATATCCTCTGACTGTCCACATCAAAACATAGGGAATAGGGCTTTCTCTTAAAGGAATGAAACATTGGAACATAAGGGGAAGCCCTCTTCCTTTGTAAGTGCTGAGCTGAATCTCCAATGATGTGCAGTTTGGAAGGGAGGTGCAGAGCAGAGGAGAGCTTGTGGCAGCATAACCTGCTTTGGAAGGTGCCTGGCTGAGCCCCAGGAAGGGAAGGAATGAGCTATGAGCCTGGCAGCAACTAGCTCATCACGTCTGAGCTGAGCATTGCCAAACACAGAGAGCTTCATGGTTGAGACTCTAGAGATGCTAACATTGTGTAAGTGATCTAAAAATGCTTGTTTTGTTTTGGAGGGGGGCAGGTAAATTTTATTAATTTCAGGTTAGGAATTAGGGTTCATAAAAGTTAATCTTGCATTATTTCTGATTTCCTAGAAAATGGATCCATAAAGCCAAGTTTTTGAGAAAATAATGTTTCATGTTGATTTTCTTCTAGTCAAAGTGTATTATAATGTGCTCATCATTTATTCCATTTCCTGTTTTGCTTTTCATTTAGCCTATCATCCTGGAAAGGGCAAATTAAAAATAAGTTGGCAGGGCATGAGGAGACAGAGTCCTAATACGGTCTTCTGCTTCTTCCAGGTGCAGAGTGATCTTCTTCATTTCCCTTCCAAGCCAGCACTCTACCTCCTATATCCACCATGGTGTATGGTGAGTTTTTCCATCGACCTGGACAAGATGAGGAACTTGTCAACTTGAATGTGGGGGGCTTTAAGCAGTCTGTTGACCAGAGCACCCTCCTGCGGTTTCCTCACACCAGACTCGGGAAGTTACTCACTTGCCACTCCGAGGAGGCCATTCTGGAGCTGTGTGATGATTACAGCGTGGCTGATAAAGAGTACTATTTTGATAGGAACCCCTCCTTGTTCAGATATGTTTTGAATTTTTACTACACAGGGAAGCTGCATTTCATGGAGGAACTGTGTGTTTTCTCATTCTGCCAAGAGATCGAGTACTGGGGCATCAATGAGCTGTTCATTGACTCCTGTTGCAGTAATCGCTATCAGGAGCGCAAAGAGGAGAACCATGAGAAGGAGTGGGATCAGAAAAGCAATGACGTGAGCACCGATACCTCATTTGAAGAGTCTTCTTTATTTGAGAAAGAACTGGAGAAGTTTGATAAGTTACGATTCGGGCAGCTCCGGAAGAAAATCTGGATTAGAATGGAAAACCCAGCATACTGCCTGTCTGCCAAGCTCATCGCCATCTCGTCCTTGAGTGTGGTGCTGGCCTCCATCGTGGCAATGTGTGTCCACAGCATGTCAGAGTTCCAGAATGAGGATGGAGAGGTGGATGACCCTGTGCTAGAAGGTGTGGAGATTGCATGCATCACTTGGTTTACAGGGGAGCTTGCCATCCGGCTGGTTGCTGCACCTTGTCAAAAGAAATTCTGGAAAAACCCTCTGAACATAATTGACTTTGTCTCCATTATTCCCTTCTATGCCACATTAGCTGTAGATACCAAGGAAGAGGAGAGTGAGGACATTGAGAACATGGGCAAGGTGGTCCAGATCCTGAGGCTAATGAGGATTTTCCGAATTCTAAAGCTTGCTCGGCACTCGGTAGGACTTCGATCTCTAGGGGCCACCCTGAGGCACAGCTACCATGAGGTTGGGCTGCTGCTTCTCTTCCTGTCTGTAGGCATTTCCATCTTTTCTGCACTTATCTACTCTGTGGAGAAAGATGAGACCACGTCAAGCCTCACCAGCATCCCCATCTGCTGGTGGTGGGCCACTATCAGCATGACGACCGTGGGCTATGGAGACACCCACCCAGTCACCTTGGCTGGGAAGCTTATTGCCAGCACGTGCATCATCTGTGGCATTTTGGTGGTGGCTCTTCCTATCACTATCATCTTCAACAAGTTTTCCAAGTACTACCAGAAGCAAAAGGACATTGATGTGGACCAGTGCAGTGAAGACCCACCGGAGAAAAGTCACGAGCTACCTTACTTTAACATTAGGGACATTTATGCACAGCGGATGCACGCCTTCATTACCAGCCTATCTTCTGTTGGAATTGTGGTGAGTGATCCAGAGTCTACAGATGCTTCAAGCATTGACAACAATGAGGACGCGTATAGCACCGCATCCTTAGAGAATTGCACAGCCAAATGAGCAGGGACATTTGTGCCTGTATCTTGTGTCCCTTCCCAATATTAGGTTAACACAGCTTTATAAACCTCAATGGGTTTGTTAAAATCATTTAATTCTCAGGGTGTACCTTTCAGCCATAGTTGGACATTCATTGCTCTAAAATGATAGACTTGTCTTTATTTTTCTCAATGAAGTGAATTAAATGCCTTGTTCTGAAATTTATTTTTTACAAGAAAGAGTTGTGATATGGTTTTGGAAAAAAAAAAGGTAAACGGTATTGGGTGGGATTTGTTGCTATGGCTTATGCATCATTCTATGTTTGTCATTTACTCACATTGAGCTAACTATAAATTATGACAAGTAGAATCAAAGGCCCAGCTGACTGAAGACTCTACATGCATGTAAGATCCACAAAATGAGACAAATGCATGTAAATCCGTGTTCACTCCTAGACATGGAAACGAGGAGCCTAATAAACTTCCTAATTCAGTATGGAGAGTGTTTTGGTTATTTATTTTTTTTGTGTCAGTTAAGTACATTAAGTATTTTCAGAACTAGCTTGGATGAGAAATGCTGTATTTGGAGCATTGAGCATCCTTTCTGTATATTTTTAATTAAACTGAGTTTAAAGGGGAGCTCTGGTAGCGTAGTGCCTAAGGCACTTGACTGCTAACCAGAAGGCTGGCAGTTCAAACCCACCAGCCACTCCTCGGAAGGAAAGTTGGACAATCTACTTCCATAGAGATACTGCCTCGGAAACCCAAGGAGAGGTCACTATGAGTCGGATCCAACTCGACGGCACACACCACCAACAACAACAGCTGAGTTTAAAGAACTCTGGTGATATCATGGTTAAAACATTCAACTGTTAAGCAAAAGTTCAGCAATTTGAAACCACCAGTTGTTCTGCAGGAGAAAGATGTGGCAGTCTTCTTCTGTAAAGATTTACAGCCATGCAAACCCCATGGAGCATTTCTATTCTGTCTTATAGGGTCACTATGAATTGGAATTGACTCAATGGCAGTGGGTTTTGGTTTATTGTCCAGTTTAAACTGATATAACGAGTATCTGTTTAGGACATATTCAGATTGACACCTATGAATGAAACATGTCTTTACAGTATATATTTCCAGTTTATATTTTGAATTTTATAATTTTTATTGCCAGGATTAAACCTCCTTACATTCAAATTAGTCAGATGAGAGTAAACCTGTATGTTCAAGGCAGTGATCCATTCAGTGAATGGGAGAAAGGAGAAATACTGTGCAAATACACAGATGTGATTCATCATGGCCAGAGGAGTGAAACTTAAATCACTGAAAAAAGCTATGCCAGCAGCTATAAAAAGAGCCAACATTTTCACCTTGAGATGGTAGTTCTGCATCTTCTGTAGAAATTCTCACAAAAAAAGGAGACATATATGCTAATTTTTTTTTAGGGCAGTGACAGAGGAGTTCTATCCCATATAGAAAGAATTTGGCTAAAGTCTTAATTTTGGAGATGTATGGCGATTCTAACACAGTCTGTCAGGCTGACTACAGGATTCTTTCCCTGAGGTCTTTCAAATGGAAGAGCCACATGGGTGTATTATCCAAACTTTTATGCTCATAGTTGCATTTCTTTGAAGGTAAGACATTTTCCCTCGGTTATCTGATGAAGGTAACTTTCTGACTCATCATTCCTCAGCATTTCCATGACTTCTGAGGTGATCATAACTACAGAGTTTGTATTCCCTCCTAAATCTCAAGGTTTAGTACATGCATGTGTCATCCCCTGCCCATTAAAACCAATCTTTTCCCCAAAATACCTTTTTAATGTTGCTATACATTTTCTTTAAGCATAGATTTTGGGATTCTATTTAATTTAAGATTTTCTACTTAGTAGTGAGTAACCAAAGCCTGCTTACATAGTAATAGTAGTAAAAGCAATAGTAATAGCAGCAGAAATAATAATAAATAAGTAGCTACTTATGTAAATATACTTTCCTATCTAATGTTATTTACTTCTTACAATATCCCTAGGAATAAGGCTTTGTTACTATCCTCATGGTATGATAAACAAACAGGCACAGAGGAAAAGGGCTTGCTTAAGTTCATACAGTAAGTAATAGAGTTGAAATTTGGACCCTGCAGGATAGATTATAGGGCCTGTGTTTTTATCATTGCATCACACTGCCTCCAGCTCTCCCCTGTTAGGGAATGGATTTAGGGATACATCAGGACAGAATTCATCTGAAGGGATGAAGAGCAAAAGACTGTCAGACTTTGAGTTGAAAAGGAGAAAATGTTAGCTTATCCAGCTTTTCTTTCCTGATACAGAAAGTGGACACATTTGTTCACAGAGACAGAGTTTTCTAGAACCCTCCTGAAGCTGCAGCAGCCTCTGGGGGTCCTTCCTCGAGGGAAGCTTATGTTTCTGTAAAAATTCAGAAGTGTGTTTCAGCCAGTGGGTACATAAGGGGGAACTTCCAAATAGCAGATCTTATTACTCTGAACTTTCACAGTCGGAACTATATAGGAATTGTGATTCTGTTGGTATCTCTTATGAATTCCTGGAGGATAATTTGCCAGAGCACTCAGCAGTGTGTGAAGTGGTGGTGGTGCCTTCCATTGGGTTTGACAAGCTGGAAATCTCCCCTGAATCCTCCTCTCACCTTTTCCATAATCCATGCATGTCTGTGACTGTTAATTCCCATATGGTGAGGTGGTTGGTTCCTTCTTACTGGAAAGGTTGAGTCAGTGACTAAACATCCACTTGCTGGGATCTTGGCAAGAGGATTAGGGCATTGGGCAGGGGAAGAAGCCAATCAGCCATGGCCATAGGCATTGGGATTCATTTTAATGGGATCAGACTATTACAGGGAGTTTTATCTTTTATTCCAAATTATTTTCCCTACTCTGACCTCTGCTCTTCCTTCTAGTTCTTCATATTTTTTTTCTTTTTTCACATTACCTTCAGCAGAAGTTCTTTATGGGAATTGTATGGCCATTGGAATCACCCAAGGACTGTTTCCAATATGTTTTATCCCTTCCTTCCCAACTCTTCTTCTCTGGAGATTGTTTCAATTTCCTCTTGTTTTCAGTTCAACTTTTCCCAACTGCTTACTATGACATAGGGTCAGGCCAAGCACTGGGAGTGCAAAGATGAATGAGACACAGTCCTTGCACTCAGGAAGCTGTCAAGCTAACTGGAGACAGATAAGTCAACTGATAATCACTCCACAGAATGATAAAGGCCATGATAAGAATAAGAGTCCACAGGAGAGGTAGCCAACTTGTGTGTGTTTTTGTCATGGAAAGCTTCCTGGAAGAGGTGACATCTGAAATCCTGCTGAATTTATTTCAGATTTAGGGATAAAACCTTCACTGGGAATGAATAGGTGGAATCTGTTGCCTTCTTCACCTCTTAGCTTTGTACTGTGCCAATTTCTACCTCTTTGAATTCTCTTCTCTCCCCTTTGCTAATTTCTCTTTAGTTAAAAGATCTGCCTTTATTTTATTTATTTATTTATTTAATTGTGAGCTGGGTGAAAATTTACAGAGCAAATTCGCTTTCCATGCAGCAGTTCACATACACTTTGTCTCATGACACTGACCACAATTTACCACAATGCAACAGCTCCCCTCCCACTTCCTCGCGATAGTTACCTCTTCCCTGTGTCCATCCCTCCATGCACTCCTGCCCTCTCAGGTGTCTTCCTGTGCATACACAGTCCTTCTTTCTCCCATGATTGTTCTCTCCAAGGAGTGTATCTACCTCAGGTAAATTTCAACTCATATGCTTGTCTTTTGTTTGGCTGGAAGCCACAGGTGTGGGTTCAATTCCAGACCTGAAGGGCAGCTAGGGGCTATAGTCTCAGTGGTTCCACCAGGCTCTATTGGACCAGCAAATCTGGTACCCCCCGCTTTTTTTTTCTCCAAAGGATTTTGAGTTTTGTTTCACATTGTTCTCCCTATACCTCCAGGATCTCCTACATAGATCCCCTTCCAAGTGGTGGACAGTGGTAACTGGGCACCATCTAGTTCTTCTGGTCTCATAGTCATATAGGCTGCAGAAAAGATCTGCCTTTAGATGTGTTGATCTGTATTTTTTTTCTTCCTCCTCTGGTGGAGGTTTAGATAGAGGTAGACTTTGTGACTTTTCTTGCTCTTCCTATTTTTTCCCAGAAACATTTCATCTCCCAATTGATTTTACACATATCTGAGCTCATTCTCATATGTTTAACTCAAATTCAGGGGTACACTTGCTATTGCTGTGATAGAGGGTCATGGTGAGCTTGGTGCTTCTATGCTAGTCTATCTTATAAATGTTGGTTAATATCATTAAAGAAGTTTTTTCTGATGTTTAGAAAAGGCTCTTTTGCACCATATAAAATTACAGTTATCATTTTGACACAGTTTCACATGGCTAAACTTAAGGGTAAGAATTTGCCTCATGTTTACAAAAAGATGTTCCCTGAGTTCTTAGAAAAACTTGTGACTAGTCCTATGTATATTTCTGATTTAAAGAATGGCCATCAGGAAGCCCGAGATTTTAGTATTAGCTCCACAACTAACTAGCTGTGTGATCCAGAAGCCAGGAGACTCGCCACTTGGAGCTTCTTTTCTCACATTGGAGAAGAATGTAATCATTCCTGGCATCCTTTCTGGTTCTGACACTTATGTGTGTAAGTTAGTTATTTCACCTCTACTTTTGTGTATACTAGGAATTTGCCTAGCAAAAAATGACTTAAACCTGCCATCTACTTTTTCTTATTTATTTTATTTTTTTTTTGTCAGTAGAATCCAATGACTTCTCATTTCTTGTTGTTGAGGACATAGGGAATCAGCTGCCTGAAAACATAAGTTAAAAGTATCACTTATTTCCTTTCATCATGTGGCCAGGAATGAACGTACCTTGAATGCTGAGGGTGATGTTGGGTGAAAGGCCTTTGAACATCAGTAGTTATGTGATTTAGTTTCTTTAAAATAACTCAGTGGCTTTACCTTTGGTCATTTTCAGCATCTGCCACTCTGTCCTTCTCAGGAAGAATGCCAAAGCATTTAGGAACATGGCAGGAGAGAGTGTGAGCTGGGAATGAGAAGGAGCTCAGGCTTCCCTGGCCAAGCATTGTCCAAAGCTGTGGGCTATGACAACTCAGAGGAACCTCAGAGGGCCTGCCTCTTTTAACATGAGGAAAAGTAGTTACTCACCAAGCCATGCAGCAACACAGAGACTAAATCCATATTACAACTAGGCCTTTCTTTCCTTCTATGTTTCATTGTGAAAAATATCAAACATATACAAAAGTGCATGCACTTATCACCCATTTTCAACAATTATAATCCCAAAGAAGACTTATTCCATCTCCTTCCCACTCACTTTTTCTCCTTCCTACTTTACTTTGAAGGAGCTCTGATGGCTTAGTGGGTAAGGCTTTTGGTTGCTAACTAGAAGGTCAGCAGTTCAAACCTATCAGCTGCTCTGCAGGAGAAAGATGAGGCAATCTGCTTCTGT